CTTTGCTTAGGTAAAAATCATTTCCTTTTTTCCCCCCAACTACACACTAAAAAAGTAAATGGCCAGCGCACTAACCGACTGCCGGTGCGAAGATGCGTTTTTCGTATAGTTCCTCGCAGGTTTTTGTCGCTAACGGCACTGATTTTTCCTGCAGATGCTTTTAGCTAGACGAACTGAGACTAATAGCCAGAACTGTCAAGAAACATCCCCTTAAAATTCCAGTTTTCTAGTTTTGTTGTTTACTGAGTTAGCAACTTTGTTATGTATCACAAATCGAAATTTTGCAGGGATACGTTCTTCATTTTGGGACCATCACATGTGATGACGCTGGACGCATGCGCGCTGTCCAGCTGTTCACGTTACCGTACCCCGATTGGTGATCTTAGAATCGACCAGAGAAGTGGGTATTTTCAGTAGAAACAGTTTAACATTTGTTAATGAACGCGAAAAATGGGCACTGGGCCATGCATTTACTTGTTAGCGTTTACTTCTTCACCGCATCACATTTTCAGTAAATGCTGAGTTGAAAGATTCTGGTCCTTTTACGATGATGGATTTGCATAATGAGGAAGCAGAACATAGCATCGAGATGCAGCTGCCTTACATAGCGAAAATAATGGAAAAGTACAAGTTTTTTCCAACTCTGATGCTGTTTTGTTTGAAGTTGAGTGAATGTGGAGCAGGTATTTGCAGCCTGATGAGCATTGCAAAACGAAAAAGTTGAGCCGTTTTGTGCAATTTTCTTTTTCCCAGATACAATTCAGTGTTTTTTTAAAATTCCTTGTTTTAGGCAACCAGCAAATAGATATAGTATAGTTCCTGTTCTGGTAGGTTCACTTTCTTCGGCAAGACAAACTACCTATGGTAAAATATTCAGCAAATATTTATCGGATCCAAGGACGGTGTTCGTTATCAGTTCCGATTTCTGCCATTGGGGTAAGCATTCCTGAGCATAATGCATCCGTAAAACTAGGCGATCAATTAGAATTTGAGTTTTATAGAAGAAAACGGCTCAGTTCAGCAGCAAGTCACTAAACTCTTTCTCTGTCTGTTTACAGGAAATCGCTTTCATTTTATGCCATACGACAGTACAGCGGGTGTACCAATTTATGAGCAGATTGCAGCTTTGGACAAAGAGGTATCTTTCGCGGAATTGCAGAAGCTGGGGGGGGGGGCTCAATTTGCGCAAATAATGGAATTTAATTTTGTAGGGTATGGATGCGATTTCTTCCCTTGATCCTGCGATTTTCACGGATTATTTAAAGAAAACACAGAATACGATATGTGGCCGAAATCCAATAGGCGTTATTCTTTGTGTTAGTATTCTGCTCCTGTTCCTCATTTGAAGCATGAGATTGTGGGGGGCTACGTGTTGTATGCATGTTCTGGAATAGCGAATAGCGTCTGCTGTGCTCCGGTACTCGAATTTTTCAGTGAAAAAAAAACCCATTTTTGGTACGTTTTTATGGCCAACTTGAGGTAGAGCTATTGAAGTGTTGATATGAAATAGGGCAGTTGTTTGCATTGGCACAATTCAGCTTCAAATGTTAAGGAGT